GTGGGTGGGGAAATGGATGCATGTATGAATATTGGAAGGATGTTGACATTTTGCATTTTAAGGAAACTACTGTCATTTCTGGCATTATATATACTTTGTACAAATTAACTTTTGAGGTGCCTGACAAATTTGCTCTTAAGTATTTGCTTTGGCTACAGGTTCGGAAGACAAGTCAGGCAGCAGTCTTGGTACTACTTGAACAAGAACTTATTGACAAGCAAGATGTGGAAGATTATGTGTGTCCTGTAATAATTCAACTCACTGGATCTGAAAGTTCAGATGATTACAGAACAGAAGCTGTGGCAGTAAGTATTGATTTACATTTCATTAATTATGAGGATATATGCATGGTTTATTGTGATGTTTGTGTGTATTTGTTTAGCTGTAAATGGTGTGCATGCAATGTATTACTATTAAGGGTTGATCACAACTGACCCTAACAAGTCTTGCCCCAATCTATACTGTTCCCAAGCTTCTTGTATAAATGAATGAAACAGTCATAATAAAGTGACCTTGGCATATGCCCTCTCATCTGCAGCCCAGTTGGATGAAATGTTTGCTGCTGTGTTCAGAAGGATTGCATTACTGGTGGGTGTTTTGTGAAAGACACAGGTAGTGAGATAGTGTATGGTAAACATCTCGCTACTTTGGTCTCTCTCCATAGCACCTTGCCAAAATCTTCACAGCGGTGCAATGTATTGGCATCCTTCCCATCTGCTCAGAAGCCTGGCTTAAAATGCTTCATCAGCTGTCAACACGAGTCTTTTTGTAACCTGTTTTCAAATATCAGATGTGTTCAAAAGCTACTACTGGTAGTTTATGTTCATGTCTTGCATGTTTTTGTTAACATTTACTTTATATGTGTGTGATTTGATTTTTATGTGTCATACAGAAGTGATTTTTGTGCAACAAAATACAACATGTATTCAGTTTGTCATTGCATATGTCAACTTATTCAAGTTTTAAATAATTCAAAATTACGAACCTCTGGTCAAACAGAAACCAAAATTGTGACTAAATCAGCAGGAAATAAAATGTTTATATTTATCATACATGGATTGTGTGGTCTGAATGATCCTACAGTAAAATGTTATTACTGTATGGCCTGAACAATTTATTTGTAAACACTACACTCGACCAAATAAACACTTGTTGATAACTATATTTTGTGTGCTTGCCAAGTTCTAGCTTGGCAATTCAACAGTTGATGGAGAATGAGTGATCAAACAAATTACGATAGTTTGCAGAAGTTGAAAATTGAACAACGCAAACTACCTATAACCTATAAATTTATACCGTAAAAGCTCAATCAATTCGGCCACTCAAATAGTTCGGCCACCTATTTTTTGCGTCATGGTTAATTTTAAAATGTATTCGTTTAGTTCGGCCATCTGTCCAGTTAGTCTATTGTTTGTATTCATTAGTTCGCCCGGTGATGACACGCCTGATTTTTACG